GAGTTAATGAAAATTTGGGGCCACCTGAAGGAAGACTGTACAAAAGTGTTGTTTTGCAATTTACTCGGTAGAGAATAGGGAATCAAAGGTTTTAGAGCAGAAAAGTGATATACTTGATTAGAGCAGGGTTTGGGGAAGATTTCTCTGTCAATATGGAAATGATCAATTGGTATGAGGCATGATGAAAGTGGGGAGATAATTTAGAGGTAACTTCAACAGTTAAAAGATGATCAGGTACCAGACCGAGGCAACATCAATGTCCAGACAATTATTATAAGAATTTGTTTCAATGAACCAAAGTACCAGGCCTTCCTTCCTTATTAGGGTCTTTATAAACAAAAGGACTTCAGAAGTGTGAATGTCATGTTTCCAACAGAGACCCTGGCTCATGGATAGGTTTTACACAGTGACAAGTATGATCTAGATGGAGTGTATTACTTACATTAAAAAATATTTAAGGATGTGTATGGAAAAGTCCCTGATGAACTAATCAAATGTACAATACAAGAGACACATTATCATTAGTCAAGTAAACCACACCCAAAGCACAGCTCTGCTAGTGTAGGTCTCAGCATCTGGTAACACCCAACCAGGTAACAGGAAGAAAGCATTATCACTGTAGAGCTCCATTATAGGATAAAATAAAAATCTCTCCAAATTTCTTGAAGCTCGTTGGCATGTATGTCTGAAATTTCACCTGTAACCCCTCCTAGCTCTTATTAAAGGGCTGTATGTACTCTGTGTCTGTACTCTGCCAAACCCTAACCCTAACCCTAACCCTAACCTAACCCTAACCCTAACCCTAACCCTAAAGTGTGAACATTATTTCAGCACCTTGAATGCAATTTCTTTAAAATATAATTTTTAAAAAGACTTCCTGTACTGAGCCCTGGCCAGTTGCTCCGTGGTTAGAGCGTCGGCCTGCAGACCGAAAGATCTGGGGTTTGATTCCTGGTCAAGGGCAGGTACCTCGGTTGTAGGTTCCCAGCCCTTGCAGGAGTGAGCGTGGGAGGCAACCAATTGATGTGTCTCTCTCACATCAATGTGTCTCTGTCTCTCTCTCTCTCTCTCTCCCCCTCCCTCTCTCTTCCCACCCCCTCCCTCCCTGCCACTCTCTCTAGAAATCAATGGAAAAAATATCCTCAGGTGAGAATTTAAAAAAAAAAGAAAAAGACCTCCTGTACTTTACTTTTACTTTTTAGGTATGCATTTTGTGACACACACAGCTGTGTTTCAGACAGTCCCTAGTTAAATCAGTACAAGGAAACATTAAAGGCTATTTTTTTCAATTACCTAGTTGTAGTATTCCACTAGTGTAGGTAAAGTTCATTGCAGTTAATGGAACACTTTTACAATCATTTCATTTAATCCCTAATATATAATCATTTTTAAAATTGTATGTCAAAGGGAAAATGGAGTTTTAAATTATTTATTATTATTTCCTTAAAAGGTAAATGTAACCTACATCTATATCAGATTTTACCTCTTAGTGTTTTCAATGGCAAAATCACACCATTAGAATGTCATTAGAATGATTCAAAGGAATGAGGAGCATCTGCTTTGCAGAAGGCAGCCTAAGGTGGTGGGAGGAATATGGCCCAGCTCTGCCTGACTCGGCTACTCCCTGGCAAATCCTTGGGCAAATCCCTAACCTCTCTGAGATTCCATTCCTTCATCAGTAAAATCCTAACAAAAGTACTTTCTCCGTAGGGTTGTAGTGAAGACTAAAGGAGGCTTCATTTGTGAAGTGTCTGGTCACTTCCAGGTACTTCCTACCCTGAAGACCATTGTTAAAATACAAGTGACTCTTGGTCACTTCCATTAAAAATGAGCATGACAATAACATCAACTATCTATTACATTTATTGACGGGTTATATATGCTATTCTCACTGTTAAAGGATATTTAATACAACAGCTCTACAAAGAATGAACATTATCCTCATTTTACAAGTATTGAAACTAAGGCTCAAAAATCATATAGAGAAAGTGGTGAAGTCCAGAATTTTTAATTCATAATAACATTCATCATTCGTTTGTTCAATATTTAGAATGTCTATTTGTGACAGGTACTGGCCTGTGCATGAGAATTACTAACAGACAATGCCCTGTTGCCTTGCCTGTGGTAGTCTCACGTGGGATGTTAAACAGAGAAAAATGAAATACTATGTATTTTGTAAAGTTATAAGTTGGTGGAGAAAATTAAGCAGAAGAAAGTTAACAGGGAGTATCAGGAGTAAGGAAAGTTGAAGAAGGCCTTATTATAAAGTGACTTTTGAACAGAGATGTGAAAGAAGGGTGAGAGGCAGAGAGATATCTGGGGAGAGAGTAATCCAAACAGAGGGGACAAAAAATTGCCAAGGCCTGTGCTGCGTGCATGATTAGGGCATGTAAGGAGCAGCCAGGGGTTGGTGTGACTGGCTAGGCTGTGGGTGCCTGGGAGTATGAAAGGAGATGAGGTCTGGGAGGTAGCATAGGATTGTGATCCTGCCTGGAGGCCACACTATGCACCTGGGCTCTCCTACTGTGTGAGAGAGGAAGCAGGAGAGTGACACAATCTGACTTAAATGTCAGAAGAGCTACTCTGCCTGATGGTTGGAAATGCATCGTCTTCTGGACGCATTTGAAAGGATGGGCTGACAAGGTGTACTGATGGGCTGGACATGGACGTGGTCTGGCAAAACCCAGAATGGAATTGCCATTTCCTGAAATGGGGAGTGCATTTCCTGAGATGAACACCCTTTGAAGCAGATACAGGCAACATAATACTAATTAACATATGTAAGTACTTCTTATGTGTTGGGCTCTTGGCAAGCACTTTTTGTGCATTGTCCCAGTTAGTTCTTATACCAAACCTTTGGATTTACCAGGGAAGAAATAGAGATTCAGAAAGGTGATAAGGTGCCCAAGGTCACACAGCTACCAACTGGCAGAAATACATCTATATGACCCAAGGTCAATACTCGTCATACTGCTGTACTCCCTGCACTGAGAAGTATAGAATACAAAATAAAGGACCATTGGGAAGGAAGTAGAAGTACTGGGAAGTAGTAAGTATTAGGTGATGGCTGGCACCTCTTAGGCACTCAATAAATATTTGCTAATGGATGAATAAATAAAAATATATGGATGGTGGTATAACAGATCAAGTTTGGGTGAGGAAAAAAAAAAACACTAAAGATTCCATTCCAGAAAGAATAGACTCTGGATAATGGAATTCAAGTCTTTAAAAAGAGAAATGCCAGAAAGGTAGGAAAAAACCAAACATATATTTGCCTGGACCAGCCCTATAGTGAGGAGAGGCCTTAAACTACTACCTTGAATTGTTGGATGAAAAGGCAGACATGAGGAGATGACACATAACATTGTACATACTGCAAGTGGTTAATGCAGGTTATATCGATAATAACAGAAGTAAACTCAGAATTCCTTACATTTAGTCCAATGCAAGAGACCACACAGCCTTTTAAATAAAAAGCAACCTTTTAAGTCAATCAATGAAACCACCAGCAGTGGCTTAGATACCAGAATGGTGTTTGTGGTCCCCTAATTTGCAAGATCATATCCATAAATCACTTCCTAGACTTTCTCTTCACATTTTTTCAACCTTTACGTGATTTTGTTCCCTCGTTCTTACCCTGCAGTCCTTGGGATAACAAAACACTGAACCAATGCATGTTTTTAAAACAGAGAACCTGCAAGCAAGGTAGACGTGGGGTTCTCTTCTAACAAAGACATTGCCAACTTTTCACTAACTGGCAAAATATTTATGAGCCGTTTCACGTTATTAAGTTGAAAAATAATCAGCAATGAATTCTTTTAAAATGTTTAGACCTCCTTTTCAGCAACATCAGTTTATGGTAAAGAATCTAAAATATAACTCCAAAGAAAGTAAAGAGTTAGTGAATAAAATAAAATGCATCCATATCTAAAATTATTTTTTTAATGACTGGCAGTTTAAAGAAGCAATTTAAATAAAGCAGACAAATACTGGTTTCTGATCACAAGGATCAGATGGAGGTGGGATGGCGGTGGGAGTAAATACCTACATCAAAATGTCAAAATCCATAATTTGAGCTAGAAGTTCATGACAAAAACTCAATACTTTACAGTAACAACAAACAATGGCTTTTACAAGGATTCTACTATTTAAATTCCATAAATTGGAAGAACTTGTTTTGTGAAAACAAAACCCTGAAATCTTTCTAGAATTCCTTCCATGAACTTCAAACAATATATCTGTTGTAATTACATTTATTCAACATACTTTTCCTTAAAAAATTCTTCTGGTTCATGAGACTTATATCCACACATAAATACTAAAATAAGTATGTGCTGTTTACTATACCGTCACACACACACACACACACACACACACACACACTCAGTTTAGAATGAATAATGGCAGCCAAAGTGTTACCACAATGGGTCAAACACACTTGTGGTCCTGTGGTATTTGCGAAAATGAGAATCAACAAATACCTTTATTTAGTTATGATCGCGTTAATAAACACCCAAACCCTCAAGTGCTGTTGCTGTTGTTTTCCATGAGAACACCCATAACTGCAACCTGTTAATTTAACTAACCAGTGATGATAGACAACAGATAGATAGATAGATAGATAGATAGATAGATAGATAGATAGATAGATAGACAGAGCTTCTACTCAATTCCTATCCTGGGAACTAGTGAAGCGAGGAAAGTTCAAGGTCTGTCCTGGAGACGTCCCTTACCCCTTGGAGCAGGAGTTTGAGGGTTACCCACCCACAGCCTCCCGCCCAGAGCCTCCTCCGCCCCGTCCCCGCAGGGCTGGCCTTGGCCCCCTCCCAGACTTTACCCTGCCTCCTCGCCCGCCAGCCTCGGGCCGGGGCCGGGCTCCCGGCGGCTTCCGCATTCACAGCCGGGACGAGGAGGCAAGGGCTGCGGGCAGCGGGCAGGGAGGCTCCGCGGCGGCTGGACAGCGGGCGGGGGGCGCGCCCAGCGCCGGGCCGCGTACTCACCGAAGGGGCCGCGCGGGCTCGGGGCGCCTGCACGCCGGGACCGGATGGGACTCAGCCGCGCCCGCGGCCTCGCTGGGAAGCGCGGCGAGACGGCCCGCCGGTGTCTCCGCCGCCGCTGCTGTCACCGAGCTATAAATACCGCTCGGCCCACACCCGCCGCCGCCTACGCCGGGCGCCCTCCGCAAAGTCCGCGGGCCGCGGGCCGGGCAGCGGGAGCGCAAGGGCGACGGCGCCCGGCAGGTGACCGGGGTGGCTCCAGCTGTGCGGCCACCTGCGCAGCTGGAGGCATCGCCTCCCGCCGCCCCCGCCCTCCCGCCCCCTCTGCTCCCCTCCCTCCAGCCCGCGGGCCGTGCGCCCTGGCCCATCCTGCCTGGGCCTGGCCCGCTTCTGCAGAGCCAGCAGATGCGGGCCGGCGGGGGACGACTTCGGACTGGGAGGGGGCGGGGGAGAGGGGGACCGGCGGCTTCAGCCTTGCGTGTCAGCAGCTGCCCAGTCTTCCTGGGGGAATGGACAGACTTCTTCAGCCCACCATCCTGCAGGGAACCAATGGGGTTCCCCGATGGGAAATCCTCAGCGAGCTGCAAACTTTCTAATGCAGCCTCAGGTCACAAGCATCCTTTCTGCTTTGGTGTGTTGGTGGTGTGGAGGGGTGGGTATGGGGACGATAGAGCCTGTGAGGAGTAGAAGTCTTACACTTTCCAGCCTGTCTGGTCTGTCACACATATGCAAATATATCCACACGTATTTATAGCACACACATTAATACACACTTAGAAATAAACAAATATATATGCATGCCTACATATGTATATACACATATTTACCCACACAGATATATAAGCGTACACACACACACACATGAGCAATCTTTAACGATTCTGCAGCCTTGCAGCCTGAAATTCTCAGGAGCCTATCATTCTTTAGTGCTCAAATGATTCATCTGCAGCTTGGGGGAGGAAGACCCTGCGACTACGTTTGGCCAATTTCTTTCTTCTTGAGTAATCTTTTTCCATTTAGATATCTGTGGCCTTTGTTTCCTTCCATAACAACTCAATAACAACTGCTACCTCAGTTTACCAGTTGCTTATGTATTAAAAAGCTGCTATCCAACATACTGATATTCCATGCTAATGGAAGTGATCACTGATTTGTAGATCTCAAATGGGAAATGGAATAATTCATATACGCCTACAATAGCTAGTTTATGAGAAAACTAGCCCTTCTGGACTGGCATGATTCAGAAGTGGCCTTGGTAGCAAGAGAGAGAGCTGAGATGTCAGCAGATCTTACAATGGGTTGGAGAGAGCCATTGCTAAGTCCTGTGGCGTAGCTAATTGGCATAGGGGTGATTGGGAGTTCACCACCATACTTCTCCCAAGTTTGACATCTTTTCTAGCCTTGAAGAATGACTGCATTTTTTCTACATTGTAGTCATAGTTCGTGATCATCTGATGAAACTCTTAGTTTAGTAAGATTCTCTTTAGTGGGGCTTTCAAAACTTTTCCCAGAGAGTTATTTCCTATGCTAGCCCTTTGTACATTTAACTTTGACACTTCATATATCTTGCTGTAATTTATTGCAACGTCTTTTTCTCCCCCACTAAGCTATATAAACTCTTTGAGGGCAGTTTCTCACCATTGCATCCTCAATGCCTAATGTAGTGAGTTAGAGTAATGGCTCAATAAGTAGCAGATTAACCCTACAGATTAATTGTTAGATTCTACTATGCTTTTATAATTACAATTTGGATTATTTTACAAAGAATTACTGTTTAAAATGGGTTTCAAAGGCTATCTGTTCCTTGCATCTCCATTTAAAGCAAGGAGTCTTCAATCAGCTGACACACAAAAAAAATTAAAGCTTCATAAATAATGCAATATAATACTGAGATCTGTGGTGTATTTCCCCCCCGCCCTCAAAAAACAGAAGGCACTTTTCCTATCTTTGAAAGACAGTCAGTAAAACACATATTTCAAAAGCCAGTAGATTAAAGTTATCGAGCAGCTTCTCTTCTGCCCACTTGAGAGCTAGAACCCACTCTACTCCATGGAATTTCATGGGTGTCTGGTAGAATGAACTCAGCTCATCAGAACTGGAGCTTGTTACCTACCATTGGATCTCTGTCTTCTTTACATAAATCTTGCTTCCTTTCATAATAACTTTAAGAATAAACTCAGCCAATGCTCACAATCTGCTCTTACTTGACAGCTCTCAGGGTTTAAAGCATGTAGTTTTCCAGGACTACTTCCAGGCAAAAATATTGAGATGGGCAAGTCTTTCTTCAATATCAGTGCTCCCTTTTTACCACTGGCCAAGAAGCGTGTGCCCTTTGCTGTAGCAGCCACCCACGATCTTCATTTTAGCCCTATCGAAGGACCAAGCAGGAATGGCCTCTACACTTGATCTTTGTCAACAATTTTCAGTGATAAAAGCTCAATTTATTGAAGGTTTATAGTGTACCAGGCCCATCTCATCTAGTAAAACATTTAATCTCTGAAACAGACCTGTGAGATAGATGCTATTAGTATCACTTCCGTGTTTACGTTTGAGGAAAGAGACACAGAGAGACTGAGTAGTTCATGCAAGATCTCATGACTGCCAGAGTGATGGAGGGAGGATCAGAAGCCAGGTAATGTGTTGCACTAGCCCATGTTTTAACCCCTTACTTTTTACTTCCTCCCCAGGTACCAAGGAAGGGATGTGGTTTTTATAGTCAGGAGACCTGGCCTAGGGAGCATTGGTATGAATTTTGGTTCTACCACTTGGGAGCTAAAACCCTAAGCAAATTGCTACTATAAAATGACAATAAGACTCCCTAGATCAGCCTTTCTTCACCTTTTAATTCGTGAGATGTTAAATTTATATATGAACTTAGGGGTCCAAAGTAGGTGCTTTGGCCTATTTAAGAACAGTTCCTAATCAGGATTTAGACTACTGTTCTCCCTATTCTTCATCTCAGTCACTACCATACAGACCCCTATTAGGTGCCCTAATGCATGGCAGGCACCTATATAGTGGTAGGTATATAATAGGTGCTCAATAAAGGCCATTGTTCCTTCCTATCAAAACATACTGAAAAAAAGGAGATATATATAATACTTTTTGTAATTCTTTAAGCAATAAAACAAAATTAAAAAAAGAAAAAAAAGGAAAAATAAAAATAAATAAATAAAAACATACTGTCCCATGAAAACTTTCCATAGGATCAAAATGTGTCAGCCAGTACACAGATGGTGATTGCTTTTTCAAAGAAATTAACCATCTCCAGTGTTGGCCACCAGTGTTTAAAAATGGTATAAAAATAAGTCAATAAATAAATTAAAATGGTATAGATAGAAGCCCCCGGAAGAAACCAAGATGGCAGAGCTTCAGATCTCCCACTTATCCCATTCATGTCTTAACCCAGTTATTTTCTGTAAAAGGGATTCAGCAAATTAGCCACAGTTTCAGACAATGTCAGAGCAATGGTAAAATAGTTTAGGTAGGAAACTTTCAAATCACATTCTCCAAATAGCTTCCTACTCCCCCTCCACATACAAAGTCAACCCTGCAGACAGGCTTAAAATGTGTCTTGTTTATATATGATTCCTTCGTAAAATATCTCCCAACAGTACAAATAATTAGAAATAACTAAATGAGATGATGTTTTTCTGTTCATCTCACATACTTCAATAGATTAATAATACAGTTATACTCTGTTTTAAAAAAAGACAAGCTCAATATACATTTCAAAAATTGGTGAAAATTTTTGAATTATGAGCAAAATGTATCTTCTCTAAATGACCCTTTTAAAGCAAAGGAAACTATAGCTGGAAGCTTCAATAACCTCTACCAAGTCAATCAGGAAATACTCTTATCAGTGACTTGATGGACTCCAGCAAAATTATTTTTAACTTCCAATAGGTCAATCAGGATAATGCTAATGGCATGCTCCAAATATAAACAGTGTAATTTCCTTATTTCCAAAGAGGCAAGAATAGAAATTTGAACATGATCTATACAGTAGTTTTCTTCTGATATTTAAAGGCCAGTGACTTTATTGGTCAGATTTTCCTCAAGTCCTAACTGCAAAAATCCAGTCCTATTGTACCCAATGGACACTAATATATTTGAGGCCACATGTCCTGGATTTTGCTTGGAAAAGGGTGGCCATCACATGTCTACTGCTTGGAATACTAGAGCTTGTAGTCAGGAATCCTGGTTCTGCCACAAACTAGCGATGTGATGTTAAGCAAATTACTTAACCTCTCTGTACAGTAGCAGTACCTGCCTCAGAGATTGTAGAGAGATTAAATAATGTTACACTTTTAGCATTTGTTCTGGTACATATTAAGTTCCCCCTAAATGCTCTTTTTATCATCATTATTGTTCATCTAATCCCTGCCCTGTTTATATTCTGCATGTCCCAGAGTTCCCTTCACCAGAGGACTGATTCACCTAGCCTTCACTTTAGCCTACAAAAGGCTGGGCAAAGGAATTTTTCTGGGCAGTTTTTATTTTTTATTTTTTTTAAATATATTTTATTGATTTTTTACAGAGAGGAAGGGAGAGGGATAGAGAGTTAGAAACATCGATCAGCTGCCTCCTGCACATCCCCCACCGGGGATGTGCCTGCAACCAAGGTACATGCCCTTGACCGGAATCAAACCTGGGACTCTTCAGTCCACAGGCCGACGCTCTAGCCACTGAGCCAAACCGGTCAGGGCTGGGCAGTTTTTAAATTAAAGGAGTCATGCAAACAATGTGAGCTAGCAGTCAGAGCAGAAGTAGAACCATCAGTGGCTTGGTGGCCAGCATCAGCTCTGTCTCATATATGGACCTACCTGTCCTGAAGCATCTGCATAAATGCAGCAATTCTGCCAAATTCCTTTTGTGGTGACAGAGAGGGCAATTGTTCCACTGCCCACTCCCTTCAGTTCCTTTCTGGGCCTCTTGCCTTCTCCTCTGCCCCACAGGCTCTTGCATATGCAGAGGCCTAGGAACTGCCTGTGCCTGACTTCCGGAAGCAGTGTTCCACGGAGATTGGTGATGACTTCATCCACAGGAATCTGACTGCTGGTTTTAAATGGCAAACTTGCCTTTGTTCAGTTTTGACCTGACCTTTTCTTTCTTTTTGCTTGGTTTGTCCTAAAACAAATGGTCTTCTTCCTTCTTCTGTTTCCAAAAGACCAACTTAGACAAGTTTTGATAGGCCTAGCCCAAGGCGGGGGGCGGGGGGAAGCGACTTGATTTGAGGGAACACAAAAATATGCTGGCCTTCAAGAGTCTTCATTTCATGTAA